GCTTACATCAGGGTTCACTGTTGTACGTTCTCTGGGTTTGGACAAATTTACAGTGACGCGTGTCCACCATTAGAGTATCACACACAGTAGTTTCCCTGCCCTGAAAGTCCTCCGTGCTCCACCTGTTCATCTCTCTGTCCCCAAGCCCGGCAGCCACTGATCTTCCTGTTGTCTGTGTAGTTTTGTCTTTCCAGGGTGTCATACAGTCAGAATCATACAGTGTGTAGCCTTTCAGACTGGCTTCTCTCACTCAGCGATGTGCATCTAAGTTTCCTGTGTTCTTTTCATGGCTCGATAGCATGTTTCTTTTTCGTGCTGAGTAACATTCCATTGTCTGGATGTACCGCAGTTTGTTTATTCCCCGACCGCAGGACATCTTGGTTGCTCTCATGTTTCAACAATGATGAGTCCAGCTGCTGTAAACGCCCATGTGCAGGTTTTTGTGTAGACATAAGTTTTTAGCTCCTCTGGGTAAATACCAAGGGGTGTGATCACTGCATCATATGGTCACAGTATGTTTGGTTTTGTAAGAAACTGCCAAACTGTCTTTTTAAAGTGGCCGTACCGTTTCGCATCACCACCTGCAATAAGCGAGAGTTCCTGTTGCTCCACATCCTCACCAGCACTCGGTGTTGTCAGTGTTCTGCATTTTGGCCATTCTGATTGGTGTATCTTGTTTTAATTTGTAATTGACAAATGACTTATGGCAGTCTTTTCATGTGCTTATTTGCTGTCTGCATATCTTCTTTAGTGAGGTGTCTGCTAATGTCTTTGGCTTATTTTGTTGAGTTTTAAGAGTTCTTTTTTGAAGTATAGTTTGAGTTTATATAATTAAAGCTAATTTTAAGTAATTTTGCTTTGAGGCAAATTTCTGGGGTATGCATTGCCAGGATTGAGAAAGTTTTCCCCCTTTTCTAGCCAGGCTCTGAAAACCACCTGGAGGAGCTTGTCAGTGAGAAGCTCTTACCCTCCTAACGTACAAGGAGGCTTTGCTCGGGCTTTGGGAAGTCGTCCATAGGTGATGGAATCCTGGCACCCAAGAGCCACCCATAACTAAGACTTCTTATAAAGCTTCCTTCTCCCTCCCTCTTTCTAGTTGCTCTCTCTGTTTCTCTCATTCGGTTTTGTGTTTAGCTCTCTCACCACAAACAAACAGTCTCCAGCACAGTTGAGATTCCAGGAAGGTCGCCAGGGTGCAGCCTTCAAGTCCATAAAAAGGAAAGAGATAAACGAAACACATACACATGTGCACACACAGTCTCCCTCACCCGTCCCCGTGCCCGTTCTCTTACTAAGCTTTTCTCCTCTTCCTGCAAACACCCCCAACAGACACAGAATTTCAGTCTCCATCCCTCTTCCTCCTCTTCTAGTCGTCTTTTCTGCCCCACCTCTCTCATTTCTTGGCACATGCAGAATGTCATTTCTAGCACGTAGCAAATCACATCGATGTGTTGCCTGTGCCCAAAGGCCACGTGGCTTCCTCTGTCCTCCCCGTTCCTCTTCTTGTAAGCCTGTGATTCATTAGAGGCATAGGTTAGAGTGTCGGGCAGTTACTCTAGTGACGACCTGCAGGGAAGCCGAGCAAGGCCCAAATATGGCTCGTTCTACCCACCCTTCCAAAACCCAACATCTTGCACAAGAGCACGTTTACGGGCTGGGCCCTGTGCCGTACGCCTGCTAAACAACGACAGCTCAGTGGTGCTGACTGCTTTGTCTCCCTCCCTTCCAGCTCCTCTACAAGCGACCTCTCCAGTTACGGCCATGCTTATCTAAGGCGGAGCCCTGACCAGTGCAGCTCCCAGGGGAGTATGGAGAGCCTGGAGCCCAGCGGCGCCTACCCGCCCTGCCATCTTCTTTCCCCCGCCAAGTCCACCAGCAGCATTGACCAGCTCGGCCACTTCCATAACAAGAGAGACTCTGCGTACAGCTCTTTCTCCACCAGTTCTAGCATCCTAGAGTATCCACCCCCTGGCATCTCTGGCCGGGAACGTTCAGGCTCCATGGACGCTACTTCTGCTCGAGGTGGGCTGCTAGAAGGGATGAGGCAGGCAGACATTCGCTATGTCAAGACGGTCTACGACACCAGGAGGGGCGTCTCGGCAGAGTATGAGGTGAACTCGTCAGCCCTGCTTCTTCCAGGTAGGGCGGCCCAGGCATCCGCAGGTGGGCAGGGCTGCGATAAATGGTATACTGTTCCTCGGGGCAAGGGAGTGCCACCACCATCCTGGAGCCAGCAGTGCCCCAGTCCCCTGGAGACCGCCACTGACAGCCTGCCTCCTAAAGTGGGTGCGCCCTTGCCTCCTGCTCGGAGTGACAGTTACGCGGCCTTTCGGCACCGTGAGCGGCCCAGCTCCTGGTCTAGCCTTGATCAGAAACGCTTCTGCCGGCCTCAGGCGAACTCGTCAGGCTCCCTGAAGTCTCCGTTCGCAGAGGAACAGCTGCACACCGTACCAGAGGGCAGTCCGGAGAGCAGCCCCCCGGTGAAGCCCAAGCATAATTACACCCAGAAGGCCCAACCTGGCCAACCTCTGCTGCCGACTGGCATCTACCCTGTACCTTCCCTGGAGCCACACTTTGCCCAGGTACCTCAGCCTTCCGTGAGTAGTAACGGGACGGTCTATCCTGCACTGGCCAAGGAGAGTGGATACATAGCCCCTCGGCGAGCTTGCAACATGATGGCTACCTTGGATGAGAATGGGAACCAAAATGGGTCTAGCAGGCCTGGGTTTGCCTTCCACCAGCCTGTAGAACATGACTTACTGTCCCCAGTGGAGAGGAAACCAGGAACTATAGCCAAGTGTGTCCCCTCCAAAGTTCATTTTTCTTCAGTGCCTGAAAACGAGGAGGCTACCTCCCTGAAGAGACATCTCACACCTCCCCAAGGCAACAGCCCACAACCTAGTGAGAGAAAGAGCACCCACAGCAACAAACCGTGTTCTAATCACCACGGCCTCAAATCCCCTCAGGCTCAGGCCTGGCAAGTGGGTGAAGACAAGAGATCTTCCAGGCTCTCGGAGCCCTGTGAGGATGATTTCCAGGAAGACCACAATGCCAACCTCCCGCGGAGGCTGCACAGAGAAGGCCTAGGCCAGAGCCTGGCAAGCTACTTCGGCAAGACCAAGTCAGCCTTCTCATCCCTCCAGAACATTCCTGAGAGTCTGAGGCAGCAGAGCAGCTTGGAGCTGGGAGGCGGAGCCCAGGAGGGTTACACTGGGGGCAGGCCCACCTGTGCAGCCAGCGCCAAGGCCGGGGACCCTGGAAGGAAAGCCGTTCTTGACCACCGGAGCCATCTGGACCGGCTGGTTTCCTACCCAGCCCCGGAGGGGAGAGCCAGTGCCTCAGCCTCTTCCCACGGTTCAGACCCGAGGTATGAAGAGCCGTCCACCCCACCACACCAGCAGACATCCAGTCTGGGCTGGAGGGGCCTCAGCTCCGGCAGCGCCTCGGCCCTGCAGGGCTTTCAGAACAGGAGGCCCCACTGCTCGGTGCTGGAGAAGGTTTCCGAGATCGAGCAGCGGGAGCAAGGGAGCCAGAGACCCCCAGGTGTGGGCGGCTCCAGTTACAGCCAGAACTCTAGGCCCAGTAGGGCGGCCCCAACTTCCAAAATGCCTGGAAATGATTTGGAGGAGACAAAAGCCAATATCTGTTTCTCCAAGTCAGCTGAACCCCTAGACAGTGGGCAGCAGCACTTCAAAAATGGGGAGCCAAAGTTGGAAGAGGTTTCCTGGCAGCCATGCGGCCAGCAGCGGAGCAGGGCTGCGGACGGCGGCCTTGGCGCCCCACTCCGAGGCAGTGAGCCCCGAAGGCCGGACACTCGCCTCCTCCGCAGCCAGAGCACCTTTCAGCTCTTCGGCGAGGCCGAAGAGGAGGCCGAGTGGCCCGACGACAGGCCTGGCACGCCCGAGTCGCCCCTACAGGATGCCCCCTTCAGCCGCGCCTACCGCAACAGCATCAAGGACGCGCAGTCCCGCGTCCTGGGGGCCACCTCTTTTAGGCGCCGAGACCTGGAGCTGGGGGCGCCCGCGGCGTCGAGGCCCTGGCGGCCTCGGCCCTCCTCGGCCCACGTGGGGCTGCGGAGTCCAGAGGCACCGGCCTCGGCCTCCCCGCACACGCCGCGGGAGCGGCACAGCGTGACCCCGACTGCCAGTGGCCCGGCCGGGCCCGCGTCTTCCGCCTCCCGGAGAGGGGCGCGCCGGCGCCTGACCCCCGAGCAGAAGAAGCGCTCCTACTCGGAGCCCGAGAAGATGAACGAGGTGGGGGTCTCGGAGGAGGCCGAGCCGGCACCCCTGGGCCCGCAGAGGCTGGGGCCGCGCTCCCCGGAGGGCGCCGCGACCGACCGGCGCCGCGTCTTGGAGCGCGACGGCAGGGCCTGCGCGGCGCTCGCGCTGTCGGGGCCCGAGCTGAGGCAGTTCCAGCAGAGCGCGCTGGCCGCCTACGTCCACCGCAAGACCGGCCAGCGGCCGGCCTCCGCCGCCGGCTGCAGCCTGCAGGAGCCCGGGCTGCGGGAGCGCGCCCAGAGCACCTTCCTCCAGCCCGGCCCCGCGGCGCCCGAAGGCCCCGGCCTCGCCTCGGCCTCCAGCCTGAGCTCGCTGCGGGAGCCGAGCCTGCAGCTGCGCAGGGACGCTGCCCTCCGGCCCGCCGCAGTCTCCGAAACCTGGCGGGCTCCCCGAGATCGCAGCAGCTCTTTCGCAGGAGGCCGCCTCGGGGAGCGCCGACGCTGGGACCCCCACGCCCCGAGGGAGATGCTCGGTGGAGCTCATGGGCCAAGAGGCGCCCAGAGGGTGGAAGGGAGCCCTGGGGAGCTGTCCTCCTGGGGGGCCGCAGCCAGGAGGGCCGGGAAGTCCGTGTCAGCTGAGGACCTGTTGGAGCGCTCGGACGTCCTGGCGGTCCCTGTCCACGTGAGGTCCAGGTCATCGCCCACCGCAGACAAGAAGCGCCAGGTATGTGTGAGCAGCAGGTCCTGGCCTAGGCCTGTCTCTTTGGCCCTGGAAGCTTTAGTGGGTCTCCCCTATCTCCCCCTGCACCCCAGCCCCGTTCAGTTTTCCTTGCAAATGCAGAAAAGTAGCATTTGTTTTCAGGAGTTGATTTCTTTCTCAGTGACCCTACTGAGATTATATATAATCTATATTGTTATGTAGATATCTTATACGACTTTACATAGACGTCTTTTTAACCCCATTTTAGGAAGTCACCCACCTCTCAGTGCAAGAATGCAAGGTTAGGGTAATATTACCGTTTTTGGTTTTTGTTTTTTTTTTCATGGAATAGAGACTGTGTCTGAGTATTTTAAAGATTTTAGTTTCGCATCCTCTCTATTTCTGTTGGACTTTGCATCTACAGAATAAGTAGAATGAGCGACATTGGTGATCATTGGTTATTGAGTTCCTGGCCCTAGCTAAATATGCTTTACATTTATTATTGCATTTAATCCTCACAATAACCCTATGCAGTAGAGTTTATTACTCATATCAAATCTGTGTCTCTCTGACTCCCATCTGAGCTCTTTCTGTGCACTATCCTGGTGAGGTAGGAAAATCAGAGACTTTCAAAATCTCACACAAAAGGATTTTCTAATACAGGTTGCAAACTATGCAAAGATTATGAAGTGCTTTCCATGGGAAATTTCAAGCAGAGCTAGGAATAGAAGCTGAGTGTTCTGCTAGGAGTCTGTTAATTCCCCTAACAAATTCTTAGCCTATCCTCAGGCTCCACTTCCACTGGAGATCAGTGGCCTGCCTCATGGTTTGCTTCCCACCTGAGAAGACCTTAGGAATTCACATCCGTGTTAGCACAGGGGAGAAAGAACACCCCTCCTTTGCCCCTGCTCAGATTCTGCCATCTTCCCCTGCGGGGAAGTCAGCCATTCAGCAAGCATTTGTAGCACATATGTTGTATGAAAAACACTGCATTACAGGATTAAAAGGAAGAAAACATGGTTCATCCCTTTCTGGGATTCACAATTAAACAAAAAATATGAATTTATATATAATGAGCACAACTAGTTAATGCTTTGGGGGATGGTGATATGTAACGTGCTATAGGAGGGGAGTGATCTTGAGGTGAGCTTCTTTGAAGACTGTAAAGCAAGGGCCAGATGACAGGGGCCTGGGGTGGGTGTGGAAGGAGGCATTGATCAGAGGAAACCAGTTCAGACATAGAAAGATTCAGCAGCTACGGGCTGGGAAGTTTGCTGCACTGTTTTTGAAACACAGACGCAGCCTTCTGAGAGAAAACACTGCACCCTCCCAGATGTTTTCTGTTTAGAATTGCCCAGCAATGTGTTCTCGCTGGTATAAACACACACACACACACACACACACACACACAATCTAGAGGCATTTCTCCATAAGGCTTCAATAGCCATTTCCCTCCCTTCAGAATAAAGAACAGAGCTAAGTCCCAATCCTTATCCTACCACTAAAACTCATTTAAAATCCATATATGTAGTGCACAATTTCAGCTAGTTAGATGGACTTCAGTAGCTTACCGCATAGCAGTCTATTTTCTTCATTTCTCTCCCTGTATTCTAAAGAAAATAGAAATGCTTATGTGAAAACCAAATCATCTATTTTATTCCCTGTTAGGTGTTGTTACTTTGTCTTAGGGAATTGGTTAGATGGCTAGAAATGTTATTTTTCCTTTCCCAAAGATTTCTCAAGCCCGGTTAATTGGGAAATAGAGCTAAAACATTGGTGCTGTAAAGAAGTGAAGAAATTCTTTCAAATCCCAGTTCCTTTATATTATTTGGAAAACATTTTAGGAAAATAACTGAATACAGAATAGTAGTACTTAAGCACCCTTTTCATAAAAGGAATACCAAATATTATTTAATTTGGGGAATATGAAGCCAGAGGGGAAAATATTTCAAAATGAAATACTTCTTTTGTGTTGCTTTGGTCCGACAGATTCTGAAAATAGGCCATCGTCCCCTACATTGTCAGTGCGCCACTGTGTTCTTGAGCTTCCTTCCCCGCCCCGCCACCAGGCCTGATCTGACTAGAAAAGTGGCCCATGGCAAGGTCTGCTCCTTGCATCCTCTTGTCATCTACCTTATTTGTAGTTAAAACTAGTTAAAAACAAAGTTAATCTCATCACGTAACTATTGTGATTATTATTTCCAGACATTATATTCTGTTTTTTCTTATTTGAACAAATTCCAAAAACTCTATCATTAAGCTTTTGCGAAGGTTTATTAATAAAGAAGTTTTTCTCATCCTCGCTTTAGAGAATTCCAACAAGTAACCTCACAGAGACTCTGCCTGAGTTAAAACCAAAATGTGGAGTCTGTTCTGCTCCTGGCTTAGTTGTTGACATCTCCAACAAATGCTGCCTGCTTCTGCCATTCACATGCGGAGAGAGTGGGATTTTACACGTTTTTTTTAACAAAGAGTTAGCTCCTTTTCAAAATTCCATCAGCGAGGACACTTTCTGCCTCCCAAAACAGGGTCAGTTCCTCTGTGTATGGCAGCTGATCCTTCTCTGGCCTGACATGATGGCTGCAGAGGCTGCCATTTTGAGCCACTTGTGGCCTGAGACCTGCTCAGACACTTGGCAGGACAGAGCCTCCTCTCCTTAGCCAGCCTGAGATCCTCTCCGAAACATGCAGCCTCCCATTTTCTCTCCTTTAATTCATTTTCATAATTCATTTTCATTGCAGAACAAATACATGTTAGTGATGGAGCTTAAGTGCACATCAGACTCTCGCCTGTTTCCACTTACTTGCTGTGAGACCTTGAAAAACGTGACCTTGTAAAAGCAGGTGGGGCTTGCAGAGCCGTGGAAAAATATCCAAACATCTCTGCCTTAGAGACGGAAATTCACACCTGTTCATTGCATAGATCTAAACTATAGCAGAGCCTATAGGAAACCCTTTGGAGAAATAAGAATCCTGGTGGTGATTTTTTTTTTTCCCCAGATGCCAACTTAGAGGCTTCTCTGGTTCCCGCTGTATTTTGAGATGGTGTGACAAACATTATTTAACTGATGAGGAAATTGCTCAATGCACAGAACCATGATATTGGATATAGGCTTAATTCTGTGGGATGCAGCTTGTAAATCCTTTTTAGTACTTCTCAACAAGCACTCATTCAAGCTTAGGTAAAAGTAACAGAATCCATGTTATACAAAATGTGAAGTTACAAACAGCTAATAATAATCAAATTTTTCATATGTGTCAGTTATTATACTAAGTGTTTTATACGTGTAAAATCAGGCCTTACATCTATGCAATGAGGTAGATACTAGTGTTATGTCCATGGTACAGAAGAGGGATATGAAGTACAGAGAGGGTACGAAATTTGCCCAAGATGATAGGGAACGATGTTTTGACCCCATACTGTCTGACTCCAGAGTCCTTAAGTCACTATACCGCACTGTCTCCTTGAATACAAAGACGCTGGGGTGGGGAGAGGGAGGCAAGAGTTAAACATCTTATATCTGAAAATATCAGCCAATAAATTGATTTCATTTATCAATTGCTCTTTTAGTCATGCCACATACCAATCAAAGATGGACCACACATATAATGTTGGTCCCATAAGATTAGAATACCTTATTTTTACTCTACTCTTTCTATGTTTAGACACACAAATACTTACAGTATTCAGTACAGGAACATGCTGTACAGATTTGTAGCCTAGGAGCAATAGGCTGTATCACATAGCCTTGGGGTGCAGTGGGCTATAGCATCTAGGTTTGTGTAAGCGCACTCCGTGATTTTCACACAAGGATAAAATCACCTAAAGAACAACACAACAACATATTTCATAGAGTGCATCCCTGTTGTTCAGCAACACATGGCTATATTTACATTTAAATCATATAAGATTTTTTATAGATTTTCCAATTTTAGTAGATACTTGCAACTAATATTCTAAAATAGGTGCATAGTGTTGTCTTCATATTTCATCAGTCACAGAGATATTACGATATCTAACTTGGAACCCAAAACAAGAGTGAGGATTGGGATTCAATCGGTTTTTAGGTTTACAGTATTAACTCTGCTCAAAGAACTGGTGTTTTAAGTCAGTTTTGAGATAATTAACAAAAGTAAATTAGATGTTTAAGAAGTTAGTGTAATTCTATGCCTAGTATTTCTCCCATAGCCACTGTTTTTTCTATATTGCCATAAGTACTTTAACTTCTTACCAGTTTATAGAAAGTCTTTGACAGTGAATATATGCCCATATTAAAGCAAGAAAATACACTAGGAATTTATCTTCCTTGGGCTTCTTCCAGGTTGGAAAGTTATTTTCCTTCTGTCCAAATGGAGTTTTGATTGACAGGAGATTTAGAGAATTCTCTCAGTAGCTTATTACTGGATCTAATTTCCTTTATTTTATTAACACACACATAAATATCAATTTAAGCTTGACATTTCAGGGGCTAAATCATGTGAATATTAGAAGTTAGATTCATTCTCAAACTGCAATGCAAAGGATGTAATAGAATGTGAAGTATATTTATACTTTACTGTGTTAGGAGCTCGAACAGGGCATTGGCTTTTCTAGTTAATTATTGGCAACATGGCACATTCATGTCAACAGAGGGAAAGGTAGTGGAGAAAGACCAAGAACCCATAAGGTTTCATGGAGAGCAGGAATTCCCATTCCCTACAGTGATATTTGTGTAAATCAGAACACATGGAACTCATTTTTCTCCAGCCATTCAAGTTGGTTGCTTCCAGCCCAGCTACCATTCAGCTTATTAAGATTCCATGGAAAGATCTTGGGCTTTGAAGAGATCAGGGCTTTAATCTTACCTTCTCCACTTACTTAACTGTGGACAAGATACGTAACCTCACTAAGCTGCAGTTACATAACCCCCCCCATTGTTATGAAGACTAAATTACAAAAGAAATGCAAATGCCTATGTTCCAGGCACATAATTTGTGGGTTGCAAGGTACGTAGCACGGTGCCTGGCACACAGTGTACACCAGGAAGGGGCAGCTGCAGTTACTCATTATGTCCGGTGTTTGTTTCTTCTGCCCGCGACCACCTTTCACTCTCTCTGCTGCTTAGTAGCACTCCTACCACCGACGGGCCAAAAAATATAAAAAATGAGGGAATGAAAAGAAATTGCCCTTTGGATGGCGTAAATGGTGAAGTAAAATTACTGAAACTAAGTTTAGGGATTACATATGGATTTAATATTTGTTTTCTACTTGTATTATCATAAATAATTGAGAGTTGAGTATATTATCATCAGTAGCAACATCATCATTTTCCTCATGGACCTGATCACATGGGCCAGATTTTAGGCCATCAAAAACTGACCTATGAGCCAGGTTCGGTGGCACCTGCCTGTAGTCTACTACTTGGGAAACTGAGGTCAAGGACCACTTAAGGCCGGTCAGACTGGACAACATAGTAAGAGACTCCCTCCCCACTAAAAAAAAGGAAAGAAAATTTTTAGAAGTTGTATTAAAAAAAAAACTGACCAATGACCCTTTCAGGACACCAATATTTACCCTTATTAAAACAAAATCAAAAACTACTAATGAAAAGTCACCAGAGTTATTACCACATGTGGGTGAAATTTTTCCCAGAGAGAATTTATTGCAACCTGATTACAAACCAGATTCATATTTTCTCTAAATAGAACATTTGAGAAATTCGGTCAACTATCCTTTTCCTGTCATCTCCCGTATTTCCCTATTGCTGTTTCAAAAGCTTGGCCCATTGAATTCACTGTGGTTATCGTATTTCAAGGATAGTGTCTATTTTGAACTCTGGAGATAACTGTCATGAGACTTAGGAAACATCCTTGTTAGGGGAGGCAGCTGATAAGACAGACTGAAGTTCAAATCCTGACTCTGCCACTTTCCTTTTTACCTTGGGCCTATCTCCTTGTCCTCGCAGTGGGGTTATGCAAGATTGCCACCGTGGTGCCTGACGATGGTAGGTCGCCAGTAAATACGTGTTGCTTCTCCTTTTAACCTCCACCCCCTTGGTGAATGTGAACACCTGTTTATTGGTAATAATGCTGTACCTTTCTTGTGTTCCAAGGATGTGCTTTTCGGGGAAGACAATGGCTTTGGTCTGACGAAGGATCCATGTTATTTGGCTGGCCCTGGATCCAGGTATGTGTGTGTGTTTACGACATCATCTGCCTATTGCTGCTAGAGTTAAATTACTTCTGTTCCTTTCTGTAAGACATCGAAACATTATGTTGCAATGTTGAATATTGTCATGCGCCTTTTAGATTGGTGTAGGCCACGGAGAGCTTTTTTTTATTTATTTATAAATGACTTTTCTCTAAGAATGATACTTGTTCAAAACAGGTTTTGAACATGTGCTGTTGAGGAAATGGTTGAATTCTAACAAGTTTGCCACCAGAATGATTACTAGAGATGCTCTTCTCGGCGTGTCCTGTGGCTTTCGCCCAGGGCCCCTCTGCGTGGCCGATCTCTCCCAGCTCTGTGTGCAGAGGATCGAGTCTGGTGACTGGAGTGCTGGGGCATGTCATCCACAGCTTCACAAAGCAAGACAAACTCACAGGAAGCATCTGAGGGGAAAAGTAAAGTTCAAAATCATAATTTTATGCACATGGAGATAAATAGTAGCAGGAAAGTCATTTTAAAAGTTTGCGGCCAGGCGCGGTGGCTCACACCTGTAATCCTAGCTCTCTGGGAGGCCGAGGCGGGCGGATTGTTTGAGCTCAGGAGTTCGAAACTAGCCTGAGCAAGAGCAAGACCCCATCTCTACTAAAAATAGAAAGAAATTAATTGGACAACTAAAAATATATAGAAAAAATTAGCCGGGCATGGTGGTGCATGCCTGTAGTCCCAGCTACTCGGGAGGCTGAGGCAGGAGGATCGCTTGAGCCCAGGAGTTTGAGGTTGCTGTGAGCTAGCATGACGCCACGGCACTCTAGCCAGGGCAACAGAGTGAGACTCTGTCTCAAAAAAAAAAAAAAGTTTGCTATCAAAATCATATCTCTTAAATGAAAAATGTAATGGACAATTTTTTAGAATTTAAATTTTTGAACTATTCACATGGGGCTTAATGAGTAGAAATTTCCGAAGAAAGTTACCCTTGAACCACATGCCGTGTATATTGCTTTAATGCCGCAGCAGAGAGCTATCTACCATAATCTGTTATGACTAATATTTCCCTGCTTTTTCAAGCCAGTTCCTTAATTTTTCTTATATTTCACTCAATCATTGTTTCTCTTTCTACATTCACCTTCTTAGTAACTCAATCTAATACTGTCACAGAGAAGCAGCCAACATGGTCAGGAAGTGGATATTAAGTTACCTGCTTTATAGCCAAGAGCAGCCTTCCATGGTTGTCTCTTGCTCCTGTAGCTGTGGTGAAAGGGAAGAAAGTATTCAAGGTGAGGCTGAGGACTTAGGTTAGTGCGGGTGCGTTAATTAAAAGCTAGAAACAAGGGAAAACTAACAACAAACTGAGCACTGCTAAGAGAATTGTTCTGAAGTTAGAGGTGGGACTAAACCACAAAAAAATCAAGTAACCCTATTGATAAATGGGCAAAGGACTTGAAAAGACATTTCTCCGAAGACGGTAGACAAATGGCCAACAAGCATATCAAAAGATGGTCAACATCACTAGTCATCAGAGAAATGCAGATCAAAACCACAATCAAATGTCACCTCACACCCCTTAGGATGGCTACTATCAAAAAAAAAAAAAAAACAACCAAAAACCCAGAAAATAACAGTGTTGGCAAGGAAGTAGTGAAATTGGAACCCTTGTGCACTGTTAGTGGGAATGTAAAATGGTGCAACTGTATGGAAAACAGCATGGAAGTTCCTCAAAATCTTAAAAACAGAACTACCATATGATCCAGCAACGCCACTTCTGAGAATATATCCAAAAGAGTCGAAAGCAGGGTCTTGAAGAGATACTTGCACACCGATGTTTATGGCAGCACGGAATGGCCAACAGGTAGAAACAACCCAGATGTCCACTGACAGCTGAATGGATAAACAAAATGTATATACATACAATGGAATATTATTCAGCCTTAAAAAGGAAGAAAACTGTCACGTGCTACAAGACATTATGCTAAGTGAGATAAGCCAGTCACAAAAAGACATATCCTGTAGGATTGCACTTGTATGAGGTACTTAGAGTACTGAAATCCACAGAGACAGAGAAATGGTGCCTACCGTGTGATGGGAGGAGGGGGAATGGGTATAGAGTTTCAGATTTGCAAGGTGTGAAGTTCTGGAGATCTGTTTCACAGCAATGTGAATGGACTTAACGCTACTGAAGTGTACAATTAAAAATGGTTAAGATAAAATTTTATGTGGCTTTTTTTTTTTTTTTTACAAGGTGAGACTAATTGCTCTCAAAATCCCTTTTTGAATATTAGGATTCCTGGATACTTATCAACAGACTGTGAGCTTCTCACATCCTATTATAAAAAGGACTTGAACAAGATCTTTTTTTATCCTAAACCTTATTTCTGAAAAACACAAAACAATCACCATGGAGAAGCATTCTCAACCGAACAAAGCATTTAACTCAAATACGATCTTCAAGAAATATACAACTTTAGTATGGTTCACATAAACTAGGATCAAACATAAACTAAAAACATCCTATCAAAGTTTATTGGGCTGGATCTTTAAAGGATAAGTGTTATTTTACTGTATGGTTTAGTGATGTTTTCCCCTTTTATTAAAAGCCTCAAGATGTAATAAATAAAGGCATCCGAGTCAATCATGAAAACATCAGATGCAGTTGCCTCCATGTCCAGTTAGAGGATGCTGAGTTTAAAAGTAGTTCCTGCCCCGCTTGTTGCTCTGACTTGGGTGGTGCAAATGCAACAGATGTAACCCAAACATTGTAACCCCATAAAACTTCTGAAAAAAAAGTAGTTCATGCCCTACACTCTGAAGAGCAGCTGAGCAGAAAAAATGTCGTTTGTGTGCGGGGGACATGAGAATGAATAAGGGAGGCAAGTGGGGAGCACCCCCAGAGAACCTTCTGCCTCCGGGGCTCTGATAGCCCCACCCTGGAAGCCTCCCAGAGGCGCAGCGGTGTGGAGACGCTCCTGGACAAGAAACAGGTCTGTGTGATGGGAGGGAGGGGCCGAACCTGAGAGAGGGGGCCCTTTGTTCAAGGCCCTGCATCTGTAATAAAGAAGAAAGGAAGGCGCGAGAAGAGCTAATTTGGTCCTTTGCCGCATGCTGCCCTGTGCTTGCCTGGCACTTAGGTGGGTTTGTGGCAGGCCCTGCACTGTTGCTCTGATGTGGGACTGAGTCCCAGCTCCCGCAGAGGAGTCAGGTCTGTGAAATGAGAAGTGCCATCTGCTCTCCAGAGTCCCTGACATGGCCAGTCAGGGAGCTACAAGTGACAGTGGGTTTGCTGGAGGGAGATGGTTCCGGCCTCCCGTCAACTCTTGCATGGCAGGCGGCGCCGCAGACTCCGTTTTCTTTGTTAGGTTCTCCTCTTTTCCCTTGGAACCAATAACCGAAGTATTGGGAATTGTTGGGTTATTTCCGTGGCGCCTAGAGGACGTTGTTTAAATCACCGTGTACCATTTTTGCTTATTATTGTCAATCTCTTTCTCCAGAAGTAGCTGCTTATTAGCTCCTCGGGTGAGACTCGCCCCTCCTTTTTATTTTTCAACTCATGAAATGAAAACACTGGGAGACTAAGAAAGTTGTAAATAAAACCTTCAAATTCAGCAGCCCCTGCAAATGCTTGCCAAGCAGACCTCCACGGTGCGGTCACACTGGGGGAGAAAGAATGAGGCAGTTCTTCTTTCCCGGAGCCTGGAGCTATTTCCCCGAAGTAGTCCTAAAAGGGGTGGGGAAACGGACTCCGGGTCTCCTTTTACATCCCGACGCCTGTCCTCGGAGCCGCGCGTGTGCCTGGAGTGTGCCGGCGGCGGCGGGCGGCGCGGGCGGGGTGAGAGGAGGAAGTGCTGCGACCCAGGCATTCCGTGGGACGTGTTCCCGCAGGAGCTACGCCTGTGCAGTGCTCTAACTCGGTTCTCTCTGTGAGCAGCGGGGGACGGCTCCTTCTTCCGCTAGCTGCTTTTGTCATCTGTGTCAAAACCGTGGGCTCGCCGCCTGCCGCTTCCTTCAGAGCCCTAACCCTCGTGTCTGTGTCCTGCTCCAGGTCGCTCAGTTGCTCAGAGAGAGGCAGAGACGAGACGCCGCTCCCCCACCGTCCCACCCCACGCTGGGCGGGTTCCTCGGCTCCTGATGAATGTCCTGGCACCCTGGACCCCCAGAGGCAAGCCAGCAGGACGCCCAGCTCCAGGCCGCCCTCGCAGGCCGCGGCGGATCGGGCCGCAAGGGACGGTCAGGCGGGGCGACAGCCTCTTCCGCCCTGCGCTCCTGCAGGGCCCCACGGAAGCGGCGCTCTCGCCCCCGCCCTGCGTCCCGGCGCGGGGGACCGCGAGGTCGGCAGCCCCGAGCGCGGGCCCGGCGCAGGAGCGAGCGGGAGGCCCCGGCCGCCGCAGCGGCCTCCCCCGCAGGCGAAGCGGGCCCCCGCGGCCGGGGAGGACGGCCTTCCTGCGGAGTCCGCGCCCGAGTCTGCAGACCCGACGCTCCGTAGGAAGCAGCAGAGACCCCCAAGTTCCTGCGGGGCTTGCGACCCCGACACGCCTCTCGGGGCTCCAGGGAGGATCTCCCTGCGGATCTCCGAGTCGGCCCTGCGGGACTCCCCGCCACCTCGGGGGGACGAGGACGACGACGAAGTGTTCGCGAAGGACTGGCGCCCCACAGCCACCCCCAGCCCCACGTCGGAAGCTCTTCCGCCACCCCCGCCGCCTCCACCGGGCCAGGAGCCCCCGGGAGATGGCTGGGCTCGCTGGGACGACGGCTTCCCTCCGCCCCCGGCCCCGGCGCTGCGGGAGGTGCCGCGTGCGGGGTGAGTGAGCGGCTCGGGCACCCCCGTCGGAGGGAAGGGGCTCCCCCCACCAGCAGGACTAGTAGGTCTCGCTTCTGCTGGCCCCAGAGAGCCCCGGTGCGGAGATTGTCATACAAGCTGAGCGCACGAAACTGCTCATTTACTCGTTTGCCCGGGGAGGTCGTTACACTAGTGCTCCGTGGGTACGGAGCAGTCCGGTAGCGACAGGAAAGCCGGAACCCAGGAGGCACGGTTCACTTCTCCGGACGCGATTGGTTCAAAGTGTCCAAATAAATCCCTCTTCCTTGTCCAAGTTCTGAGTCAGTTCAGAAAAAAGGCAAAAGAGGAAGGCATATAGAAGACAAAAATATCACTTTTATTACGGATAGAGCTGATATCGAAGAATATGGCTTTTATTTGAACGTAAGTATCGGGTCTCCTGATACTGAACCCCAAGTTAAACAGGTTTACCTGCCTGTCACAGGCCACACTAGACACACACACACACAGCCTCGAGGCAGCCTCACTCCCGGAGGCTGGGCTGTGAATGATCAGCTCCTCTTTCCAAAGTCACTCCCGGTTCATAGGAGTAAAGAGTAGACTGAAGGTCAGTAATGTTTAGGGGAAACCTCTTCTTGGAAGTCAGAAGAATGGGGAAGAAGCCTTTCCCAGCACACAGCCCCCAGGGCAAGTGATCTCACACAACACCAAAACACACTGTTGACACCACCTTCAGTGTGGCTTTCTCTAAACGCCAAAAGAGTGACTCACCACTACTGGCCTCTGTTCACCTAGACCTTTCAGAAACTCTGGGATTTAACAGCAGTCTTCACCGAAACTGAACTCCTATGGTTCCGTCTTCCTTAGGATATGACAACCTCCCTGGGACCAGCTACTGGGCTTGGGACGGCCCGTTAGAATGCTGCGGTTTAGGGGGTACTAACCTCAGAAGTGACCACCTCGCCCTACTCCTGCTGGGGGAAGCTTCTCCTCAGTCTTCCACCACCCTCCATTGTCACCCTTCTCTTGACTCTCTTCTCACCACTTTCTCTATGTTTTTGTATCCCCAGCAGCCCCAGCAAATTTTCCAAGGTGACAAATGCAAGGGAAAGGCATGTGCCTGCAGCCCATCTGGAAGGGAGTCAGATACTGGCTTCCAGACCCCAGACTTCTGTCAAGGGTTCAGAGGCCAGCGAGTCCAGCCCACCCTCCGTCGTGGGTGTTCAGCCTCAGCTTGCTGGGTCCCTTGGCAAGCAGCCGAGCCCAGGGCAGCCAGCTTCCGTCCAGACTCAAAACCTCAGCTATGATCCAGTTGGTGGAACTCAGGGTTTAGAAAAGAAAATCAGTTCTGATCCTCAGAAGAGTTCAGAAGATATCAGAACTGAGGCTCTGGCCAAGGAAATTGTCCACCAAGACAAATCTCTGGCAGACATTTTGGATCCAGACTCCAGAATGAAGACAACCATGGACCTGATGGAAGGTTTGTTTCCCCGAGATGGTAACTTGCTGAAGGAGAACAGCACAAAGAGGAAGGCCATGCAGAGAACTGTCAGCTTCCCAGGGTGTGAAGGCAAGAGGTGAGTCCCTGGCAGTGTCCCCAGAGAGACTTACAGTTTAGCTCCTTCCATGGGACGATGACCAATGTAGGCTGATAGTTCCTTAAAGGGCTACTATGGGAAAGATGGAGAGTGGTTTTTATTTCCTTTTTCATTTTCAGTGAAAACTATGTGGATTGACAGGCTAGGACTGAGCAGTTAGTGGCTTCCAGACTAAATAGAAACAGAGAACATTTCATCCTAATTTGGGCTTGCATGTTAGAAATTTCCAACTGATCCCACCTAAATCACTCACAGGAACACCATGTTTTGTTTTGGTGGAGGAGAGAGGGAAAGAGCTGTGTAGTACTAACAAGCTATTTGTTATGCTGTCGGAACTCTCCTAATTCATCATGGTGCCTGTCCCCTTCTTTTTCCGATTTGGAAAACAGACAAATTGAGGTGAGGTGGCTTACCCAGGGTCACATGTTTGTCAAACACTGAGCACCTGCCATATATGTGGCAATCCACCAGGTGCCACGGGGCCCCACAGATGCGCTGCTTTGGGTGTGCCAGTCAGTTTACGTGAGTGGTTGTACCGCGCTCGTTACGTTCTCTGACCACTTGCTGTAGAAAGACCAAAGCAATTTAGAAATGCATTCTTAGAAAAGGATTTCCTAGCATTACCGTCGAGGATGTATGTTCTTAGTTGATTTAGAAGTGAAATGGGCCAGGCGCAGTGACTCCCGCCTATAATCCCAGTACTCTGGGAGGCCGAGGCGGGAGGATCACTTGAGGTCAGTTGTTCTAGACCTGCCTGGGCAAGAGTGAGATCCCATCTCTACGAAAAATAGAAAAATTAGCCGGGTGTGATTGTACGCACCTACAGTCCCAGTTCTTTGGGAGGCTGAGCCAGGAGGATCTCTTGAACCCAGGAGTTTGAGGTTCTGGTGAGATTTGATGACACTGCACTCTAGCCGGGGTGACAGAGCGAGACTCCATCTCAAAAAGAAAAAAAAAAAGCGCAATGGTCACATAGCTTTTGTGGCAGAGACCTTCCTGAGGACTTCAAAAGGGGGGCATGTGCCATCTCCTGGTGAAAATAAGCATTGACCTGGTGTGTGTCAGACTGTCGGCCAGCAGCCATTGTAAGGGTTAGATGCCCAGCAAGCCCATTTGTGATGCAATGGATGTATCTGAAAACCGAAACAAAACAACATATATCAGATCTTTTTCATATTTTTTAATTTGCTGGATTAAATGTAGTTACGTTGTTTAGAGGGACGGACAGTCATCAAGCAGGAAACTAGAAACAATTTTTTGTGGTTATTTATTCCATAGTAAAATGACGGGCTAAATATTAAACGGTATCACGCAACCAAACAGTTAATTCCTCTCCAAGAGAATCAACTTACTCTCAGAGAGTCATGTATTCAGTGGGTAGCATCTGAACTACAGTCCGCAATGCAGCTTGATTACAGTAAAACAGAGAACGCTGGATACCAAGTTTCTCAATTCCTAGTTTTTTATCCAGTCTTGAAACCCCCCATCGTTTAATCAATGAGTAGATTTTACATCTTGTGCTCACTGTGGACCAGCAAACTCTAGGTTTCCCAGGCTTATGTGGTGTATCAGCCTTACTCGAGAAGGAAAATTGGTAAGTGTCCAAGCAACAATATAGTAGGCATCAGAAAGATTATGGGTAACCAAGGAAGTGTAGCAAATAATTAACCTAAAACCTGAGATTTGTGCAGCACCTTGAAAATGCTTTCACGCTGATTGAGTTGTGGCTATGCATTGCCTTTCTGTGAAATAAACATGAGAATGATACTGACTCTATATCACAAAAGGAAAACTACTCAGGGAGGTTACATGTCTCACGCAGAGTCGGCTGGAAGGCCATGGCCACGACCCCAGTACTGCCTTTGGTGGCTTTCTATCCCATGCTTGCCTGGCTTCAGGAGCCGGAACATAATAATCACTCGTTAGTAAATATTTAGTAATTCATACTGACTTCTGAGAAAGAAATGAAGTAGAATTTTACGCATTTCTGAGTGGACAGACGTCTGCAATGAAACGAAGCTTCTGATCAGTGACGTGTGTGGTGTACTTTGTGCTTTCTGTGGTCCAGGAGTGGGGACAAGGAGGCAGTGGGCATGCTGGTCACCTGCCCTGCCTACTACAGCGTGTCTGCTCCCAAGGCCGAACTTTTGAACAAGATCAAAGAGATGCCTGCAGAAGCGAATGAGGAAGAGGAGCAGGCAGATGTCAACGAAAAGAAGGTAAATAAAGAAAGGGGTGCCCTTGTCTGCTCTCCCCAGAGAGACGGTCAAGGCCCTTGTGACCAGCGGGGTTACCAGCCCCATAAGGCAAGAGGGGAAGGGACCTGTTGCATCACCAAAGCCTGCCCAAACCACGATTAGGCTCTGGACTTTCACGGCCCTTTAACCAGCTTCCTCACAGCTCTCTTGTGAGCAGACAGGGCAGGTAAGCTACTGTTGTCTCTACTTCCACAGATGACAAAAGTGGAGCCTGGAGGGATTAAGTTACTTCCTGAAAGTCTCATAGCTGGGATTAGAACCCAAGTCCCAGCCTCTGCGTCCAGCACTGGCCCTGTTCTTAGCACGCGATCGGCCGGTGCCAGCGGTCTGCGTGATTTCTATTTCAAGTTTCATGGTCAGCAGGAAAACTAGAAAATCTAAGCACTTTGTTTAGGGAAAGAGGCCAACTGTCAAATGACACTTTTGAGAAAAGGTAACGTTAACCTTTATGTATTCCACAGCTCTCTTTGCAGTACTTCAATGAATAGCTTGAAAGAGAGGTATTGGAATTCAGTTGTTAGCATTTAATACTCCTACAGAAATTTCAAATGTTAGACATTTTTAAAACGACCCATGCTGCTGCTGCCACCGCCGCTGCCTTCCCACATACCATGGAGCGCTAGGCCAGGCTGTGTCTGCAGGGAAAGTTCTCACCATTCCGCTTTCCCCACAGCCCTGGGGGCGCTGCTTCTGCTGTGTCCAGGCTCCCCATGCTCCTTGCTTCTTGCTGAGCCTGGAATGTAAGCGGTTTTCAGTGGCACTCACTCGAGGAGAAACTTTCTGATGTGATTCTAGTTCATTTATTCCGTAGTGTGTGTCCCAAGCCCCTCTATTTTATTCTCTGTGTGTCCCAAGCCTTCTTGCTTGTCTGCTGGGATGAAACCACAGGATAGAGACCCTAGGAGCAGGGAGCAATGGACAGGAGGGATTCTAGAAGCACCTCGTTGGTGGTGCTCTGTGCTCCTGCTCTGTGGGCTCACAGGCAACATGCTGATGCAGCCACTGTGGGCACCCCCCCATATACCTACCTCAGCCATGCTGAGTGCCCCGTGTCATGGGTCCTCCAAATGGAAATAAGACCACTTTGCTCCTGGTCCGTCTATGTTTATCCCAAAGAGAGAGCTATGTATACACCATTACATGGGCCAGGTTGCCATGGCATCCGGGCACTTTGTAGAGTTTTTGTTGTTTTGGTTTCTGCCGTAGACTGCTTTACAGTGGCAGTGTGGCAAATCGCTCGTTGCTTTCTCCTCCCCATCTTATTTTTTAACTGCTGTTCCACCATTTCATTATCACCCTTTCACTCTGAGCATTATGTGGCAAAAAGTATTTTTAGACTGAGAATATGAAGGAATATCATGGGAAATAACACCAGGTACGTCTGTTACATTCCAGGTGGGCTGTGTTTTTTACACAGGGCTGTATTGTCTTTATTTGCACAAAACTCCTCTGACGCCTGTATTGCCACATCTTATGCTGAAGTGACGTTAAGGGCTGGGGCCACACAGTTGACAGATGGTAACGTCAGAATTTAAGTCTGTCTGACCCGAGAGCCTGCTAAAAATTGCTTCTAAGTCAGCTGCTTCTAAGCTTTGCGGCCCTGGGAACTGAGTAGAAACAGAGATTCTCTGGGTCTGACTAACCAGAGCTAGAGTTTGAAATCAAAACCAATTTTAAAATAAAAGTATGAGGACAACCTCGTCAGTGATTTGAGGACTGAGGAGGCTCGAGTCTTTTGCGGTGCCTTTCTACGGAGTGACAGGCTCCAGAGGACAGCGCCCACTCGCGGGCAGGGTGAATGGGGCTCTAGGGAGAGGACATCTCCCCATGGACACAGCCCAGGCCTGACACTCCGCACGTGCTCGATAAACATTTGTTGAATGGAATTGTAAAGTACAAAACTCCCAGTTGGATTTTATCATCTAACTGATGAAAAATAGCAAGAGCGCCACTGTGGAAGGGCCACAGGATTAGGGGCTACAGCCATTCTATCCTGAGAGCACCTATCGCAGAAGCTAGGCAGGGCTGGGCATGGCTAGGACTTGAATGGCAGGTCGTGGGATGAGAACTCAGGAAAAAAAAACTGGGCTCGAATAAAGTGAAGCAAGTAGGTTGAATTTTTCTTGACCCTCAGTTTTCCTTACAGAATGAAAGTGATGATCCCTCACTGGGTGGTCGTTGGGTCAAATTAACTAAGGTATGTTAATATGCTTTTTAAGCTGTAAGGTGTAAGACAGCATGACTGTCACATCTTGTTCTTACTAGGGAAGTGTTTAAGGTGATGTCATATAAATATGCCAATGTTGGTGGCATCTGGTATCTTCCACGTTAAGATGTTTAGTAAGAAGGTTCCTTGTAGGCAGCTCTCTGTTTTTCTAAATCAGTCTTAGGAGGAAAAGCAATGCACAGTTGCTTCCCTCTCCACCCTGGAACGCGTTGCCCACAGCCCCAGAAGGAATGCCCATTGCCCTCTGGGCTTGTCTGGCTCTTCCTGGAGGCAGAAAGGTGAGAACAGGGTACGTAGTTAATGAGAGCCTCAGCAGCTGCTCAGAATTTCCTCTGGTTCCTGCTCCCTTAGGTTCTTTCTTCCAGGGCTGCACATGGCCTGGGGGTTGAAGTCACCTTGTGAGTGTAAGATGTTGGGCTCCTAAACAGAACTCTCTTTCTTGGTTCCAGCCACTCTGCTCTGCCTTGGGAAATGCAGACACGGATAAGACGGTGTCTGCTCTCCTGCAGCTTTTGGACTGGCGAGGGAGAGGGATTATTGTAGTACAAGGTTGTGGATCTTCTGACAGATGGAATGAGCTAGGGGAGCCCAGGGGACCAGCGCCCAACCCAAGAGGGCAGAGTCAGGGACGGCTTCTTGGAGGAGTGAAAACTGAGCTCAGTGCTGAAGAATGTGTCGGGGTGAGTCAGGACAGGAGAAAAGGGAGCATTCAAGAGAAAAGGGAAAAAGCATGGGGGGAAAACCCAGAGATATGAAAAAGCAGAGAGAATGTGTGGTTAGTGAAGAAAGATACTTCAAGGGGTTTGATATCTAAATAAAAAGTTGCCAAATTTAGACAATACCAAAGGCAGGCCATGAAGGGTAGGAGATGAGGCTGGAATCATTCTTTGATTATGACGTGTATGGGCCTGGTTTTCTTTGAGTTTGTCCTATGAACAGGGCCAGAAGGTCATGAGGTCACATAACTTTGGGTGAAATGGTGAAGTTTGGGTTTGACCACTTGGCAGTGGAGAACCCTTTGGGATTTTTCCGTTAATGAACTGCTGGTTACACTTACGTAACAGAGTTTCAATAGCGTCATATTTACATATCTGATTTGGAAACAAAAAACGGTGAGCTTTAAATAATAACGAAAGCATCTGTTAAAATACTCAGCATAAGGTTGAAAATGTAATTTTCTTCCTGATGTACAAGCTTTTCTAATGATGGTTAAAATATGATGCTTGGTCAATATTCATTCCCTAAGATTGTTCCAAGGCAGAATATAGCCTTCTACCAACTTTTGCAAAGTAATAATTTGTTACCTAATATTTAAAGTTATTAATAACTCAGGATGTATTTCTAGGCATGAAACTCAGTCAATGGAAACTAGAGTTTTGGTTTTTAATAAGTATTTTAAAATTTGAAAATAGCGTTTAAATTAGTTCTACTTTGATATATTTTCCATTTATCCTACATGATAAATAATATTGCAAGTAGGTATTACTAAAATATGAAACGCTTTCATTGTCTAAACTTCTGACATACATAGAAACTAAAGACAATGTAACGATTACAGCGCCCATTCTTTGGCTGAATCCTGCCATATCTATTAAGGAAAATTCTACTTAAACATATCACATGATTCCCTAATCTGCAGGCCAAAAGACTTTGGCTTCAGAGACTTAGAGAAATGGTTCAAAAGACAAAAAGAATCTGTTGTTCCTCAGAATTGCCTTTCTCCAAGAGATCCCGTGGGAGCCCTCTGGTTCTGCTGCCCCCGCTGTTGCTCCTCCTTCATTCCTGAAGTTCCAGGCCTCCCTCTGGTTTTGCTTCCTCTCTGCCTGGAAATGTCCTTTAGTATTTCTTTTAGAATAGGTCTGCTGGTGACTGATTCTTTCAGTTTTCTTCATCTAAGAATGTATTTCCATTAGATATGAAATTCTGGGTTGACTGTTCTTTTCTTTCAGTACTCGAAAACTTTCTTCTTGCTTCCATGGTTTCTGATGAAAAATGCAGTCATTTAAATATTCGTTCCTCCATTGTGTAGTGTGTTTTTCTTCCCTGGCTGCCCTCTTTAATTTTCAGCGTTTTGATTATGATATGTATGGGCCTGGTTTTCTTTGAGTTTATCCTATTTGGGGTTTGCTGACCATTCTTGATTCTGTAAACCTATGTCTGACATCAAATTCTGGACGTTTTCAGCCATCGTGTCTTCAAATTTTTTGCACGCATTGATCTCTCTCCTCAGGACTCCAGTGAGAATATCAGACCTGTTCATGTTGTGCCACAAGTCCCTGAAGTTCTGTTCGTTTTTTTAAAAAATCTGTTTCCTTTCAGTTCTACAGATTGGATGATTTCTACTGGTCTGTCTTCTAGTTCATTGATTTTCCCATCTCCATCCTGCCAGTGATTTTTTTTTTAATTTAAAATATCATAGTTTTCAGTTCTAAAATTTCATGGCTGTCTTTTCATTTCAAAAGTGTTTACTTTTATCATGGAACATGGTTATAAAAGCTGGTTTAAAGACTTTGGGTTATCTCAGTGTTAGCACCTGTTGATTGATTCGCCTTTTCTCCTGAGAATTGGTCATCATTTTACTGGTTCTTTGTATAGTGGGTAATTTTGTATTCTGAACATTTCGAATATTATGTTGCGAGACTCTGGGTCCTGTTAAAATCCTCTAAAGAATGTTGATGATGCTTTTGTTTTAGCAGGCAGGCAGCCTAGTCGGGGTCAGACCGCAAGTTCCGTG